ATCATTTAAACTATGTCATTTTGTTCATAACGATTGTTTGTTTTGGTCATATTAAGTTCTTTCAAGCAAAATATTGCCAATATATTTCAATCCTTGCTTCACTCGAAGGATTTTTATTCGTTTCTTCAAACTAACCAACCACTGACCACTAGCCCTACTCCTAAACCGATCACGCACGCCCATGCGATTAGACATAATAACAGTATACCGTCGCGTACTTCCTTTATATTCCCTATGAATTGAAAGTCGGCGTCGTCATTGTCCCCATTGACTAGAGTATATTAAAGTGGGGTACCGTAGTCTAGTTGAACTAACAGCTGATTCTCACTCGACCATAAACAGTTCAATCGATATCACCATTTCTTTCAAAGTGTATACTTGAATCTAAATACAATGTATTAGAATTAAAATCACGATAAAGGAAATTTGTACATGTACAGCAATTGTAATAGACTCGTGGTAGCTACATATAAATATATAGCAACTATAACAACTTAATTTGAAAACATATGCTTTGTTAATTAAACAATACAGAGAAAAGCAGTTGAGATTGTCGTCTGCTATATGACAAGTCTCCTGGTTTGCGAGTCGTCTTTAAGAAGGGAACATTTCTAATGTTAGTGACACTGCTAGAGGAATTAAATTGTCGATTACAGAACTTCAAACTCAAATAACCAAAAACCTGTTCCTTAAAATCTGTGACAAAACAATTCTCTGATGTTGAGTGCAAGATTAGACACCGAAATCTCTAACTTGTATAACCTACACCTTGCATCTTTAAACCCTTATTTTACCCACGATATTTCATTCACCTTCAAATACGCGAAGGTTAGCAAGCGGAATGTAGCGTTACTCCCTCATTCATGGTGGCTGTGAACTCGAGATGGGTAAATACCTAGCCAGTCGAGACAAATGTGCAGATGAATATCACTCTAACTACCCTTATTTATCATAGATACTCTTTATTACTGTACATTATATAAAGGCAGAGTAATTTTTGAAGTTGAATGTTTTGTTGGAGAATCACGCGTGAGATCAATGAACGTCTGGTCTAAACATAAAACAGCGCGAAAATTTACAAACAACAAATCTTGACTGCTGCGACAGCTGATGCAGCTTACATATAAATACTGATACATCAAAATTTAAGATAGAAAAAAATATTAAAGAACTCTACGCTTTTGCCTATTTTGCAGTTACCTTCTATGGGTTGGTTCACTGCTGTACTTTTAACTTTCTCTTGGTTTTAGAGGGTGGTCTACTGTTCTGCTTTTGTCTGGACCAAAACCTCCGGACAATTAACTCTGGGTTATATTTTAGAGGGATGTCTACTGTTGTACGTTTGTCTTTGTATATGATCAACAGACACCTAACTCTGGGTTATATTTCAAAGGACGGTCCCATGGCGTATATTTATCACCCAGATTGTACATTCTGCTTATGTAAAGATATATATATTTATTTTATAACTCTGAAATATGGTTATGATAATCTCTAAGTTTGTCTGTTTTGCTTTTTGATTCGTACATCGTTGCCTTTAGCTGTAAAATTTGTTTTAAGAATAACAGTTTATTTTGGGTTTTCAGTCTTTACTGTGTACTGTTTAAGTAGAGTTTTTCACCCCGTTGTACTATCCCGGGTTCAATATTTTATAATTGTAAGAGGGGGTGTCGCCCGTCTGTCGTCTGCTCATTAGAAAAAAATATTATTAAATCTTATAATACAAGAAAATAAAACTAGCCTTAAGTCTGTGTAATATATCCCATATAGAACTTCTGTCTTGGTTCAAAAATAAAATCTCAAACTCTAAATAATGTTCTGATATAGGTGAACACACCCGGTTATAGAGAAAATTACTTTTACTATTGAATACTTATAAAAATCACACTTTTTGTATGAGGCATTGTTGAGGTGTTCTCTCGGGTATAATACAGATATACGGTAGGTGTAAGGCGGTAATCTGATTGGTTGTTATGCCAAAATTTGACCAATCGAAATCCTTAAAATTAATAATAATGATAATGATTATTGGTATTATAATAACATGATCTAATGACATCACTGACAGGTTATTTCCCGGAATTACCCCAAAGACTCTCTCATCGAATCCTAGTCAATATTTAAAAACCAAGAATATGTGAATGTAAAGGGAATATTATATAATACACTTTTAATTATGTTTTATCACGTTCTAAAGTCATAAACAGTGAATATCCTAACCGCTTATCAATACTGCACACTTCATGAATTAAACTGATATAAATGACTTCTAATTGACCTATGCAGAACCTTAATGCAATTTAACCGTCTAGTAGCTGATAATAGTACAGTCTTGCATATAAACCCGACTTACGGTGACTTTTTGTAGAAACTTGCAAAAGTACAACAGTGGATCACTCTCTAATCAACCATGAGTAAAGTGATGTCTGGTGTTTCGATTAACTGACAATATTACAGCAGTAGACTACACTCTAGAACCCATAATAAAGTTTGGTGTTTTTATAAACATATAACAGTACAACACTGGACCACCCTTTGGAATATAACTAAAGTTAAAGTGATGTCTGTTTCGATCAACAGACAATAGCACATCAGTAGATCACTCTCTGGAATACAATCCAGAGTAGAGTGATGACGGTTGTTTCTATTGCTATTTCCTATATAACTCAGTAAACTCGCCAAAAGTGATGCCTTTTAGTCCTTAAAGCACACAATTGTACAATAGTGATCAACTATGAAACATAACTCTGATATATATATCTTTCATTTTTCTAAGAATAAATTTCATTGAAATCAATGTCTGGATATATTTTATGTGATTTTTACCTGATCGATTTTAATTCTCTTTTGTTGTCATTAGTTTGACCGATCACTATTTGATTATACAGTAATTGTATTATTTATACGGAAAGTCTATTATCTGACGAAGTCAGTTACCTTTCGAGTAGCTAAGATAATACAGGTACTGTAATTTAAATGCCAAAGCTTAAAAAAATATTCCTGGATTCAGCCTAGAAAAATTCAATTGAAATTTCAAAATTTTAACCAGACATTCAATCTGATACTGATTTGAAGAGAAAGCGCTAAGTGATGTGTAAATTGTTTAAAGAGGTTCTGCATCATTGACTGGTATTGAAGGAAGACGCGACAAGAGTATTAGAAGTATTACATTGAGCCAGAACGATGATTACCAGCATCCCGTAACTGTTATTAAAATGACCTTACGATGTCTTGTACATTACAATAGGTATTACAACAGGTATTCAAGTAATTATAGATGACAATAGAACAGAACGGACCCTCGGGCATCTCAATTCATTAGCTCAATTCCCCCTTTAATATGTCCGATAACATGCAAATGGAGCTGTCTTATCGTCAACAAGTAACGAGCGTTTGATACCTGGAAATTTTCCATCATTGAGTAATAAACGAGATTTTAAAAGCGTCCTTGAAAAAGTCAAAAGCTTGGAAGAACTTGGACCTTTTAAATAGCTTTCGAGCACAAAACTTAAAAAAGGTTCTTGTAATGCAAATGAAACGCCTGAACAAAGAGATGACACGTTTGCACAATCTTTAACTATGACTGTAAAGTCGCCGATCAATGATTGAATTTAATCGAACTAGTATGACTCCCCAAATTTCCAAATGAAAAATTCAGATAAACTGTTTAGTTAATGCAAAATTAAAATAAAATAGATTTAAAACCTTCTTTTCGTAATCGGGTAAATTTTAGTTTGCTATCGAATAATTTTGGATGTCCATAGTTTTAAGAGAATCCAAGAGTACATCCTTATTAGACAAACTGAAAATGGTACGAAATTTGAATTCTACGGGTGAACCAGAGTTATCAAACTATCATGTCTTACAAGCTAGCAAATTGTTCTTGTCAACGCGACAGTGCGGAGTTGTCAGATCAGAGCCGCAGTGTGGTATCATTTTTGGCAGGTATCACTAGCGCCGTCATAGACAAATTAACGAATTAATTTTCTAGAAGATTATTTTTTATTTCATAGCGATTTTACAGTTTAATAGAAGTATGTAAGATGGCCAAAGTTTTCATCAAACGCACAATTTTAGTTCTACTCTCTCGGTATCCCTCGGTATGGTTGAACAAAAACATAAGTTTCAGACGCTCTTTTGCATAGTTACATGCATGATATCAAGCATGAGCAATGCACTTTGCATTTTTAATTCGACTTGCCGATATTTTGAAACTATTCTTTATGAACATATATGTTTCGCACTGTCTTTTTCTTTTCATTATCATTACGGAATAATGCTTACAAATTCAAATATTGAGGATCCTGTCAACAATATAAAACTTCCTATTTATTTTCATATCATCAACAATAATTTTTTTTGAAGTAAACACTTATTAATTACTACTGTTTGGCGGATATTTGATTAAAAAAAATTGCAATCATTTCTTACCTTCTTTCCATATAATTCAAACTATCAACCAGAAAAGCAAACAAGATCCAACAAAAGACCCTAATATACAATTTCAGAAAGAAACTATGATACTAGAGAAAGTTGGTACCACAGCTCACTGTGAATGGCTTTTAGTTGAATGATCGTGTTTTCAAATTGGAAGCCTTATATACCCCACCTCTGAGCCGAGACGTCCCTTTCACCTTTACTTCAAAATTTATAAGTCGTAACAGATAAAAGTAGATTCTCTGATTTGACTAAGATTGTTTGGGGGCCTTTTGTTCGTGTTATAATATTTCGCCGATAACTAACTGGCTTCGCCTCGCTGCTTTTCACCCTCAGAGGTTATTCTCCTATCAAACTTACAGATTTTACCTTTCTATAGTAAACAATAGAACACGTATATTACCTTTAATATTGCCCTTTGTTTCATTAAAGATATATGTAATTGATATTATCGTTTTATCTCATGCTCCTAATCATAACAAATCATTACATCTGATTATATACATGCAGATGAATTGACATGTCCGTGTCACAAAATAAATATGATCAATTTTGTCGAAAGTATGGTATTTCTCATTAAGAGTTTATTTCGAACAGGGTTATGTTGTCTCAAGGCAGAAATAATAAAAACAAAATGTTTACTCATATATGCATTATCATTCTTATGTTTGTATTTACATTTAACTATGTCACGCTTAGCACAATATACAACCGAGATTATCACATGGACATATATTAAAATGGCAAATTTCTATTAAATCATACATCATATATAAGAGATCTTAAAATAATACTTAGGTCATATTAAAATCATAAAATGAGTTTCTGGATTTATTGTTTTTGTATATTAAATACTCCATTCAATTTTATTTTATTTTCCTATACTGCCCCTGACTCAAGATATACTCAACTTAAATTATAACTTAATAATTGATGTATTGAGCACTAATGTAACAGTGGTATTTCTATATCACTCTATAATTGTATTGAGCACTAATGTAACAGTGGTATTTCTATATCACCCTACAATTGATGTATTGAGCACTAATGTAACAGTGGTATTTCTATATCACCCTACAATTGATGTATTGAGCACCATTTTAACAGTATTGAGAACTATTTTAACAGTGGTATTTCTATATCACTCTACAATTTATGTATTGAGCACTATTTTAACAGTGGCATTTCTGTATTACTCTACAATTGATGTATCGAGTACTATTTTAACAGTGGTATTTCTACATTACTCTACAATTGATATATTGAGCACTATTTTAACAGTGGTATTTCTATATTACTCTACAATTGATGTATTGGGCACTATTTTAACAGTGGTATTTCTATATCACTCTACAATTGATGTATTGAGCACTATTTTAACAGTGGTATTTCTATATCGCTCTACAATTGATATATTGAGCACTATTGTAACAGTGGTATTTCTATATCACTCTACAATTGATATATTGAGCACTATTTTAACAGTGGTATCTCTATATCGCTCTACAATTGATATATTGAGCACTATTGTAACAGTGGTATTTCTACATTACTCTGCAATTAATATATTGAGCACTATTGTAACAGTGGTATTTCTATATCGCTCTACAATTGATGTATTTAGTACTATTTTAACAGTGGTATTTCTACATTACTCTGCAATTGATATATTGAGCACTATTTTAACAGTGGAATTTCTATATTACTCTACAATTGATGTATTGAGCACTATTTTAACAGTGGTATTTCTATATCACTCTACAATTGATGTATTGAGCACCATTTTAACAGTATTGAGAACTATTTTAACAGTGGTATTTCTATATCGCTCTACAATTAATGTATTGAGCACTATTTTAACAGTGGCATTTCTGTATTACTCTACAATTGATGTATCGAGCACTATTTTAACAGTGGTATTTCTACATTACTCTACTATTGATGTATTGAGCACTATTTTAACAGTGGTATTTCAATATCACTCTACAATTAATGTATTGAGCACTATTTTAACAGTGGCATTTCTGTATTACTCTACAATTGATGTATCGAGCACTATTTTAACAGTGGTATTTCTACATTACTCTACAATTAATGTATTGAGTACTATTTTAACAGTGGTATTTCTACATTACTCTACAATTGATGTATTGAGTACTATTTTAACAGTGGTATTTCTACATTACTCTACAATTGATGTATCGAGCACTATTTTAACAGTGGTATTTCTACATTACTCTACAATTGATGTATTGAGCACTATTTTAACAGTGGTATTTCTTTATCGCTCTACAATTGTATTGGGCACTATTTTAACAGTGGTATTTCTACATTACTCTACAGTTGATGTATTGAGCACTATTTTAACACTGGTATTTCTATATAGCTCTACAATTGATGTATTGAGCACTATTTTAGCAGTGGTATTTCTACATTACTCTACAGTTGATGTATTGAGCACTATTTTAACAGTGGTATTTCTACATTACTCTACAATTGATGTATTGAGCACTATTTTAACAGTGGTATTTCTACATTACTCTACAGTTGATGTATTGAGCACTATTTTAGCAGAGTGAATCTTTTTTTTGTTAACCTACTTGTAAAATTCTATATCTGTAAATGTGTATGCTGTTCAATTCTTTGTCATTTCTATTTGTGTAAATCTACACGCTCGCGCATCTGAATAACAAAGAAACTACTTGAGTTACACGGGCGAATTATTGTCAACTCGTCACATTTCAAATATTCGAATATTATATTATAATTGATGAAATTTAAATCTATAACTTAAATAAATAAATAACCGAGATTTACAAAGCAGTTTCACAAATCATTGGTAAATGTGTTATGTTTACAAGACGTGCTGATGGGACAATTTTAGTTGTGGAGAATAAGCTTACTTTCTCTCTCTCTGTTGGCCCCATCTCTTCACGTTAATTGATACAGATCTTTCAATACAGATGATATTTATCATAAACATTGGCTTTTATTGAGGGAGGAACTGATCCTAAATGTTGAAATCAATGCCACTGTGTAGCTAACAATTCACGTAGGTCTGAATGACCTTATGGTAAGGTTAAAGGGTTATTTTATGGGACTTAAGTACATGATAATTAGGTTGAATGGCTATATCTAGGGACCGGAGCAAGGAAGATGATGAAAAACAGTTAAATTTCCAAATTGTAATTTATATTTTCTGGTTTACAGAACTCAGCCACCATTTACATATCAACATTGCAGGTTTAAGGGTTGTTTATTTCAATGACATAAACATTAAAAATAAACAATTGGAAGACATGTAACATTTTAAATAATTAACAATAATTAACAGTATTATGGGGTCTATATAGCAGTAATCATGGTATCACAGTCATATGAGTAAAAGTTTAAATTTAAAGACTTAACACATAAGACCCCATAAAGAACTACTGAAATAGTAAATTATTTCAAACAGTTGATAACTATAGTCTCTGTATGACAATTAGTAGAAAGGACAACAAATAAATAAGAACACCATTATGGATATATTATTTTCAAGTAGTAACAAGGCAACTGCTGCATTTTGCATCCTCTGTAATTATTTAACATTATAGTAAACAGGATTAGTGACGTCACTAAACCATGTAAATGTGTCTAATTTATTTTATATTTCCAAATAATTATGAGCCAGTTCGTGAGGCGTACAAAATCATTTTCAATTTTGTGAAAAGAGAATACCTTAATGTCATTATTACCTATGTTTTGGACTTATCGATAAACCACGTTTTAAAAGGACCAATGGTCGTAATATCCTATTTAGGCTCTAATGCATCATGAATAATAAATCCGGTCGTTTTAACCTGTTGAGCTGTCAATACCATTGAAGTTGAATTTGGGATATTGTCCCAAATTTAGTACACGTGTAATGTACATTTGATATAATAATATGATAAATAACGACCATTTAATGTGTAAATTTATTTTCAATGTCCGTGCATTAAGGACAAGAGTACTAAAAAATATAAGAGTCGCATATGATTCACCAATCTGCCATCTTATTCACCCTGCCTCTGATAATTTTTACAGTGAAGGAGAAGTTGGATCTCTATTTGGTCCATTTATTTCTCCAAGATAACAAAATATCTCAATTTTCTATGAGCTATACCTGTTGATTTGTCAACTAGTTTCGGACGAAAAATGCGGGGTTACCTTTGAATCAACACTAATATTTCAATACATAGATAACATGGAGTAGGTCTGTACAAAATTTTATTGAATAACTATTGGTTACTATACTGTGTAGATTTTGTTGTACTGTGATGGAAATAAAACAACTCTATACTGTTGTAAATGAATACATGTTGAGAGTATGAAACAACTCTGGGTTACTGTACTGTTGTAAATGGTGTTGTACTCAGTAATAGGTATAAAACAACTCCGAGTTAGAGAATATCAACTAACTGTATGTCACTGTACAGATATACGTACATGCTGTTGTACTGTACAGGATTCAAATAACTAGGTTAATGTACTGTGTAGATGTTGTTGTACTGTGATGGGTATAACAACTCTAGGTTACTGTACTGTTGTAAATGGTGTTGTACTCAGTAATAGGTATAAAACAACTCCGAGTTAGAGAATATCAACTAACTGTATGTCACTGTACAGATATACGTACATGCTGTTGTACTGTACAGGATTCAAATAACTAGGTTAATGTACTGTGTAGATGTTGTTATCCTGTGATGGGTATAACAACTCTAGGTTACTGTACTGTTGTAAATGGTGTTGTACTCAGTAATGGGTATAAAACAACTCCGAGTTAGAGAATATCAAGTAATTGAATATCACTGTACAGCTGTACATGCTGTTGTACTGTACCAGATATCAAATAACTCTAGAATACTGGTCTGGACTTTATTCTAGAGGATGGTCTACGTGTTTTTTTTTGTATATTTATAGAAAAGACATCACTTTGGGCTATGCTTTAGAGAATCACCCACTGTAGTGCTATTGGCTATTTATATAAAGACCAGACATCACCAAACTTTTTTTAGAGGATGGTCTTCTATTGTTACAGTGTATATTTATAGAAACGACATCACTTCAGAGAATCATACGATGTTGTAATATTGTATATTATGTGTCGCTGAGACCCGTGGAACAGATCAGAGGGTGCTATGTTGTAGTGCTAGATGCATCACATTTTTAAATAATGTTAGGCGCTTACGGTTTATGCATTAAATCAACTTAGATTATTTCCATTAGATTATTATGCAAAACGTTTGATACTTACCGGAATCTGTCCAGTAAATTATTGTTACACCTCGTTCTCTAGAATAACCCAGTTTTAACACAAAGTTGTGCATTTAGAGCATCAACAATCTAACCATATAAATAATGTTGTTTTTGAAGTTAGATTGTAATATATTGGTCACGAAATTAGAATGGAACATCCACTGAACAAAGCTAAACTATAGTTCTAGTAAAAGATTTCGTTGGTGCTATAAGATTATAAACTGATAAATCCACTTAAATGAATACTGTTTCAAGTCACATAATATTTAAATTGGTCATCAAAAATCTCGAATATGAAATTGTTTAAAATATTTTGAAGTATCGTACGATTGGAGTGCAACTTTTTACTTCATGAGCACTTATTTGACAAAATGCTTAAAAAAGTATCCCCAATTCTCGACCAACTAATTTTCTTTGATATATTTTGCACATAGCTTCATCTCATTAATCCAAAATTGAAATCCATCACTGGAATCAA